CGTTGGAAGCAGCAGCCCTCCCTGCCCTTCAAGGAAAGCCAAAGCTTGCCCGGCAGAGCGGTCTCCCGACAAAACCAGCTGCTGAACTTTCTCCTCCCATCGCTCTCCAGGCACAGCTTTAATGTCAACGCTGGCTCCGTGCTCCCTGCCCAGAAGCTTCTTTCCTCTCCTTCTTCATGCCCTGCGGCTCCCTCCCTATGAAAGGCAGGAGATGGTGTGGTCTTGTCATATCCAAGTGACAGGCGAGAGGCGTGACAAGTAAAGTATATTAAAATAAAAAGCAGGAGCGCCACGGGCAAGCACCTTGTGAGCAGGCAAGGCAACGACAGGAAGGATGTATGGAGACAGGACCTCCAAGAGCAACTTCCCACCGAGAAAGGGGGCTCTGTGCTGAAAGTGGGGTCACGCACGGAGCGGCGCAAGCCAAATCAGCGAGGAGAATGAGAGAGGCTATTAAATTCCTGGGCTCTTCTAAGAAGGTGATCTGCCTGCCAAGAGGAGACACCAGGGATCTGTTTTCAGCGCTAGAAACAGTCTTGCACGCTCAGAGCGGGTTTTAACCTGGTTTTCTGACTCAAGGCAAGGCTAACCCCGGGGCCAACAATGGGGCCTTTCCAGCAGACAACCACCAAAGCGTCGTTCAGGTGGTGATGAGGCCTCACAGATCCCTCTGGGCAGAAAGTGAAGAGGCCCTTCTTACAGACACATCGATACACCAAGGAACAGAGAGGCCGGCCTTCAGACGTCATTTTGTTACACTTCTTAAGAGGTTTCTGGCATCTAATTCTGGCCAGGTTTGTCTAATTTTCAGGGTTTAGCTGTGACTTCCAGATACTTCAGATACTTGTGATACACAGAAAGGTATTAAAGAACACATCAGAAATGGCAGATTTTAACCACTTGCCTTTGCTCAGCACCAGTCAATAGCAGAGAAAGAAGTCTCCACTATCAGATTTGAGCTTTATTCCTTTTTTCTGTGTTCCCTTCCCAAAGCCTGGACCTTCCTGAGCCCGGCCTGGTATCTCTGTGAAACCAGGCAAAATGATTCACAGTCATTCAGAACATCAACAGGCAAGAGAGGAGCTGATGGCTGAGCTCCTGTGGTTACTGGTTAGTCAGGTTACCATCTGACTCACCTTCCTAGTTATAAACCTGAAACTTTCCGTTTTATCCCTATTAATGACTAACAAACACTACCCGACGAAAAGAAACTTCTCTGCAGAAACAAAAAGCTCTTGGGCGAGAGCTGCCCTCCTGCATGGAAGTCTGCCAGCATCTCAGTCCTCACCTAAAGGACACAGCCTTTGTTCTCATCCTCGAGCATTCTCCAAAATGCCACCAACTGTGCTCAGCTGTATCGCAGCTTTTGAACAGGAGGAAACTTCTAATGAAATGCAAATCAACATTTACCAAACGCATTTCAAGTATGATCTAAGTCAGGTCTCCAAACGCAGCATTTGTGAAAACGGTACTGTCACTTCTCCAAAACCTAAGAATATAAAAATAGCACGTTTTATGGGTACCACAACATTACAAACCTAAATTTATTTTGTCAGTGCAAAAGCATGCCTCACACACGCCCACATAACCGCAGGCTGCAGCCCACTTACCACTAAAAAGGAGAGAAAAAGATCCACGATAGGCTCAGGAAACCCTTTAAATGAGTAACTTGCTAAGACGACTGACACCAACACCCTGTTTGTATGCTATGAAGGTGTAAATATCATTCTCTGCTGAAATATCAAACCAAAAATCTGTGAGTCAACATGAGACATTTCCCTGGGTGTGCACCCCGCTCCCTACAGAGCTGCCCCAGGGTGGGGGTCCCATATTCTGCGTGTGTAAATGCCTGGGTACAACCTCAGCAATTCCATATTCATTTTGTTCTCCGGCTTAACTTCTCGGAGCCCTGGAGTGCATTCTTCCTTATCTCGGAGACAAACGGCCTCCGTGGAGAGCTCTAACCAGCAGAGCTATTTATCTGTTTGACATGTGTTTCCCTGTTTGTTTTCTCCAGCCTTGAGACAGTGGGCTCGGGCTTTGACAGGATTCAGCTGTGCCAGCGGCGGAGGGTTGCCCTGCCCCTTCGCTCCAGTGCTGTGAATCAATTTCTTTGCCATATTTATCACTTGCTGCAGTAAATCAAGTCTCATCGATGCTTTCTCCTTTTGATAGAGAGCAAAGCCTTTATAAACTTTTCAGAAAGCTGACTAGAATTTATAACAAAAGCTGTGAGGGGGGAGGGAAATGAAATCGATTATCTAATCTATTTAGCAGCAATTTTTTCTCTCTGGGAAAAAAGAAGGCAACGTCCCATGGCAAAAAAAAAAAAAAAAAAAAAAAAGGGAAGTTTTGTTTATCTACTCACTGTTTCCAGTATTTCACTTGTTGCTTTTAAGACCTTATTCTTAAAGCACTACAGGAACAAGTGCCTCCTGCCCTCCCCACACACGCCTCGCGTTGCCCTCTCAGTCCTGCCAAGCCACTGCCACAACGTAAGGTCAGGATGAAACTATTTAGCTGAAATCTCTAATACGAAGCTGATTAATAACAAAACATTAAGCAAATTGTATTTCCAGTTCCATTTAATTCCTCCCCTAGAGCACTCTGAACACCTCAGACAACTCACTTCCCTCTCCTCCAGCAAAACGCCGCGGCTCTTCCCTCTCAGGCTTAGCCCTTTTTCAAACTTATTTTCAGTAGGAATTTGTCCAGACGCTGCAACTCTTTTCCCTTTGGACCGATTACAATGACGAGCAACAAATGCCTTAAAACAAAGTATTGGCTGTGCTACAAACAAGCTCGGGTGGGGAGGGGCACTGGAAACTGGGAGAATTTTAAAGACCAGCACAACGGACTCCACACGAATTAAGTTGCTTGTGTCTCAACTGATTTCCAGCCTGGAAAACTCGCACGAGAACAATTCCTACAGTTCATCCAAACAGCTCCTCTACACAAATTTCATTCCTTATTGGAGTTCTCTCCTTCCAGAACCCACAGCAGCTTATGGGATTCAGGTGTCCACGGGGTGGTGGGACTTGAGGTGTTTGTGGTTCATGGACTCAGCAAGCCTCAGCTTTGGCTAAATAAGGTTACAGAGCTCCACTTTTCTTTTAGAAGGTTTTCTGTGCTTTCTTTTTGGAGAAGCAAGGCTTCTCTTTCATACAGATAGTGCCTGTCCTGAGCACTGGGTGTGCTGGATAACGCAGCCACACATGAAATTCTTATCAGCCGGTGTAGAAAAATCTTCCCACCCCATCACTACAAAGGTCATACACAATTGCTCTCAAATCGTATATAACAACCAACTTAGCAGCTCCACGACACACAGATTTGCAAAAAGGCAACAAGGAACATCAATACTGGATGAACATCAACACTGCACGAAGAGCAGAAGAGACCTGGAAATGGGAAGTGGCCCCAGGGTACAGGCAGCCCCTGGCACACAGAGGAAAGAGCAAACAGACTACCTGAAGGTCTTGTCCTCACTCCAGAAGAGGCAGCCAAGCCCTGCAAGCAAGCAGAGGAAGTAACAGGAACATTCTCCTCGACAGTCTGTCACAAAAGGGGAGAAGAAATAAATAAATAAATAAATAAAATTAAAAGCTAAAAAGGGAGCTGAAGACACGGGACATTACAAACCCTTATCAATTTTCACAACCTGAATTTTCTAACTTGTACTAACAAAGCTTTCTCCAGCCCATGTTCAGTTGCAGGAAGTTTCAGAATTCATACCTGTAATTTGGGGAGTAGAGGGAGTAGGGTTACTTTTTTTTCTCTTAAGCACATTTTCCCCCCCCTCTCAGACATATGCTGCCTAATTGCAGCTACAGAGTAGATTTTATTGCTAGCATTTAGACGAGTAAGTGCTCACTGACATGCAAGATGGGAAAGGTTCCTCCCCTGGGGAACAGAACACAGAGAATGATTAAGCGACCAGTAGGTATTTAAGAACACAAAAAATATCGGCAGATCAGGGTTGCAGTTCTGACTGAACAGGAGTCGGCACAGGAACAAGAGCTAGCCTGCTGATTTCCAGCAGGGTGTACCATTGGTGAAGGATAAGTCTTTAAGCTTAGGATTTTTATACACTTTTTCATAGTAAAAAGGCAGAAAAGTAACCACAGTCTGCTCCCCCAGAGGCCTGGATCAGGTGCTCCTGTTTTGTCAGACGGCTGAACCAAACCTGGCGGTCCGTGGTCCCATCCTGTCTCCCCCCTAAATCCTTTTGTAGGGGTGAAATAGCTGCCTATCATTTGCAGTAGCCACCTAATTTCAAGAACGTATCTACAGTAGCACCCACACATGGAAACATTTCAAAAGCAGCGTAAAAGAATAAATACATGACAAAATTATTGAAATCATTTACGTAAGGACTGCAGAAATGTAACACATAAACTTTTTATCTTGCACTAATGATCAATTTCCTTTATTTTGTACAAAAAATATAAAAACATTTATATATTTAAAAACAATCCGTCTGCCCTGTTTAGACTTTTAAAGTTATAACCCTTATTTTTGAAGTTGTTAGCTATAAAGCATTTTAAAATTACAAAGTGCAGCAAAACATCATTTAATATTTTTCAAAATAGAGCAAAACCTCATAAATAAGTTTTACGAACATTATGAGGATATTTTTCAAGCAAATCCTACCCGCTAAGGTAACTAAAATGATGCTACAATTCATTTGTTGTATTTGATTACTACTGAATAAACTTAATTCAAACTGTTTCTATAGGTTTACTGAAATTACACATTCCCACATGCAGAGATCAAACCTGCGACTCTACCGGATCAGAGAAGACAAAAACCTGACTCTGAGGGTATCTATCATACAGTCACATCAATTCTTTTCAAAGCAGTCTTGTCCTCCAAACTGTCAGCACAACAAGGAAGAAAAATATCAACTTCTTTCCGCAGCCCAGGACAGCCTTGGGAACCCCTCACTGCCGCACCGAGCCGCGTCGCTCGCGGGTCACATCGCGTTCCGATGTGGTCCTTCAGTCTTCACCTTCATTTGTGCCGCAGAGAAAAAGCAAAGAGTTTGTCTTTGAAGACACCTCCAAGAAATTTCCCTTCCCAGCAGTATCTTTCGAAAATCTGTCAGGTTCACACACAGAGTTTTCTTCTTGTTCCTGCAAAACACAGCTCGCAGCAGCCAATCCTTCAGGCTGCTCTGAAAGTCTAATTGCAGTGTGCATTTGCTTTCCTAATTCTTCTATCAGTTTTCCAGGAACAGACGTAGATTGCAAAGAAAACTCTGATTTCTCACCAGTAACCTCAGACGTCGAAGTGTTTGTGCCCTGCCTTAATCCATTATAGTCAGTAAGTGGAGCTGTCCTCTCCTCTTGGAGCGAGTCGTGTGAAGAATTTCTTTTCCCGTCTTCACTGGCAGAGGACTCTCGCTCATCTGAATCGGAGCCTGCCGTCTCGGACGATGAAGCACTGCTTGATTCTTCAGAGTCACTTGTCTCCGACTCGGAGGACGGCAGCTGTCGCGCAGAACCTGTGCCAGCAGCTTCTTCCTCTTGTACCAGCACCGCTGCCGCTTCCAGCTCTTCCAGTTCAAATCCTAAGTCGGACTTAGCGAGCACGGTTTTCTGCAAGGATTCAGAGAGCGCAGCCAACTTTTTTGACCTTTAACAAAGAATGAGATATACTATTTAGCTTTACAAACAGAACTTCCCCATTTGATAACGGGAACGCAAATCTCCAACATTTCTATTATTCGCTTGGTTTGCAAACAATTTTCTTCAATTAAGATTGTAAAATTAGATGCTACAGGGGTAAGTTTTTTCCACATGGCTAGCCAATATCCCGTTGAAAGCTTTTGGTGACACTTTCAGAAAAGATATCGCTCCTTTGATGTTGCACAGGAGGGGATTTCAGAAGAAACCCTGCTGCCTTCAGCAGTTTGGGCCTTGCTGGATTAAGTTTACATGCAGCAAAATCATTTTGTTTTACCACCCTTCCAGGTACATCTGTTAAATGCAGAAAAACTGATAGCACGTAACTGATCAAGTCCATCTCAGTGGCACATACAGCGCGCCCAGGATAGCAGGAGATGGTCAATACTGGGTATGCAGGTGTGCTTTACCTTTGTAACTCAGCTGTAAGACAATTCAACACAAATATCAGATCAATTTAGATTAAGGTCTCTAATAAAGCTGGAATATCCCATCAGCTTGAAACCTTTGGTACAGCTCAAGTGTTCTGAAGCACCAGAGAGAATGAAAAGTAAAAGAGCGCCTAGAAACGGAGGGGCAGGGGGCCGAGGGGAAAACAGGTATAAAATAACAAACACACATCCTGTTTCTTGTTGTAGAGTTTTCCCGCAGACTATCAATCAGCTTTTCACCACTTCCTGCAGCAGCAGGTCTGCTATAAATCCCGCCGTAACTGACTGGGTTTCATTTCCTCTGCCAAAGCTGCTAACCTGCAAGGCACGACACGCTGACACTGGAGCAAGTAGCTGATAATGTAATACATGACTCCTGCGAGGCAAAAGTTAAAGTGCTTGTTCTCTCAGCTGAATGATTTTAAAGATCTTTATATTCTATTTCCCAGGGGGCATAATTACTCAGTATAACATTGGCACTTCAATTTTTTATTTTTTTTTTCCCCTCCTCCTAAAGGAATTGTATTTAAAAGTGGGGGAAGGGAAATTCAATGCAGCTTCTTCCACGTTTTACAGAGGGAGCGCAACATTTAAGAGCTGGACTCGGAATAAAACATACGAAGCTTCCTTAGTTCAATCCATAGACTAGAAAACTAAGAAGTATGTCTTTCCCCAAAGTAACAGAAGTAACAAGGAACAAGCTATATTTCTAGGATTGGTAAATCTAAGAATTAAAGCACAACTTTATCCTAGAAGCCTCCAGTATAAAGATGGGTATCAAACTTTAAAACCACTGATTACTTAACACTATTTTTTTTTCTTTTTGGTGATGTATTTCCATTTGATTTTTGTAAAGAATTTGACTTTTTCTCGACAAGTTATGGAGGATTTGAGAAATTGCCAATCTCATTTGGACAAAGAAAGCATTCTCCCTGCTCCACAGGTAGAAAGACACGGGCAACGGTTCATGAAGCCTTGCAGGGAGGGGGTAACAGAATAATGGGCTTGCACAGAAATCTGCTTCCTGAACGCAGAGGCAAGAAGCTGGTTTATACCAAGTCACAAGAGTATATCCCACTCAGAAATCATTTTGCTTTGCTTTTGAGACAGTCTCCTTCATTCTAACCCCACAGGTACTCGTGTTTGCGCACGCGCTCCCCTCCCCTACGAGAGCTGTTACCAATACAAAGGTGCGATCCCTTTTCCCGTCCTGTCGCCTGACTGTCCACAAGAATACAACGAAGGAGCTCCAAAAGCTAAAGACACCTTACGACAGAGAACTCTGTTTTGTGCCTATTTTATATCTAGTTCCTTTTAATTTCAGACAGCCGTGAGCAACACACTGTAGGCACAATTTCCTCTGGTGATACATCTCAGCCTCCCCTACCTGTTTTACTACTGCCATTACAGATAGAAAACCCATTTCAAAAGTCTTGGGTGTCCTCACATCTCTTCTATCAGGTCTGTCACTTTGCTTCCCAATCCTGTATGGGGTCTTTGTCTGGCTTTTCTGTATTTCTACTCTTCTAATTTTTCACATATGTTTTTTCTATAGATACCCCCAGTCCTTAAAATCGCTCCCTTAAAAACCTCTCCTCCTTTTTTTGCTGTTCTCTTATAACGCAATTAACACATTTGATGAAGAAACATGTCACGTAGCTGAATTGAGTGTTAAGGAGATTTTTGGCATCAGGTACTTTTTGGCATTAATAGATACTTCACTGTGCTCCAGATTACTTAATGCCAAGCACTAAGGAAGAAAACACACAACGATATCCCCAGGGGACTCAACAAGCATTATGTTACGGAATAGATGTGGTACTGCTGACAGATTAAAAGTGGCCTCTCTAAAGGAGCAAGTGTTTGGTTACTCTACATAAATTGAGTTCAAAGAGAAGGAACGAGAAGGCTCCTGCCTGAGAGCTACAAGCACCTGCTCTACTGGACACCTGTAAAGCTAATACGCATTCTCAGTCCGAGAATTAATTCCTTCCGAGTGATCAAAACACGCTACAAAATAATGACAATAACCGATTTCATAAAATAACAGAGGCTTCGAGTTTCACATTTAGTCTTTTTTCCTCCAACTTTTTGACAGAACTACTGAGAGAGGACACCCTCTTTCTCTTGCACCGACCAGCACGGTTCAGAAAAGGAGAAGGGGCGCAGCCTTCATGCAGACCTGCGTGACCTCCCTTCTCTCTGCACCGCTGATGCCCCACAGATCACGTTAGGCCAACCGCAACAGGAACCTGCTAATAAATCATCAACAAAAATGGGAGGTTATTTTACTACTTTTTTCAGGTATTTGATCTAAACAGCATAAAAGTGTCTTCTTCCAGTCACTCTGATTTCTTAGTAGCTTACATGTTTCTTTTCGGCTTCCACTCCGGTCGTCAAGTCTCTTCCAGAATAAAAACGGACAGTCTACAGATCTTGACATTCCAATATGAGAAACAAACTCAAAGGTGTCACGTCTTTGACAAATCTATACATAAAAGTAGAAAACTCCACTCTCCATCTTGCCAATCTTCTATCAAGAGAAAAAAAAGGGCACTTGAAGAGTGTTTGGGTTTTTTTTTTTTAATCCTCCTGTGCAAGGGGCTAAGGGAATTACATTTAGCTATCAGTCCATCCTGTTTAAAGACAATTATCTAATTTCAAGGAGAACTGAGGTTCAGGAATGCATTTCACATCAGCCTTAAGAAAAGGTGGCAGCGCTCCCCGGACAAAAAACAGGGCAAACAGCTTAAAAATCAGAGCACAGAAATTCTTTCAATGGGAGACTGTGGGTCTCTGAGCTAATGATTTCCCTAGCTGATAGATGAGCAACTATTCACGAAACAAAAATGAGACACCAGAAACGAGATATCACGCATTGGAGACTTGCAGTAAACAAGTCCTGCTGTTTCCAAAATCTTTTGAGTAGTGTTTTAGAGATTAGACAGCAAATACTTTAATTTTTCAAGTATGATTAATGCAATTGCATGACTACTTTAAGACATGCTCATTCAGTATGCACATTTGTGGTAATGATATCTTATTATTATGGTAATAGTGTTCTTACATAAACATGCATAATAGGTTTTAAAGGTGCTACACACGATAATTATTAGTTATCAAGATGCCAGCTGCTTAAGGAAAATGTTTAATTACAGGTTAAACTGATCAGATGCATGTTTTGTTTAATGTATAGCTTTGAGGAACAGATAACAAGAAAGGCATCTCAGGGCTTGCCCACGTAGTCTGGAATTAAAATTTCAAGACAGAACTACTGTAGTCACAGGAGAGTTTCTCTGCGAGCTAGAAGGAAAAAGAAATCTTGTTCCACAGATCTCAGGTTACAAAAGAGTAAAACTGGGGTGAAAATAACAAAGAATCAAAGAGGATTTAGCAAATAAAGGGAGATGGATTTAAAAAAAATAAAAAGTTTGTGGCAACAGGAAAGGGAAATTGTCACAGGTTTACAGCAAAGTCCACCTGTGGCAGCACGAAGACTGTGGTGCTGAGGCACCAGCAGCAGCCAGGGTGGGAGGAGAGCAGGACACAACTTCTCCAGTGAAGAGACTGATGCTCCTACGAGCTCCAGTTCTACCTTCTGTTCCAAGGGGTAAAGAGAGCACTAGGATCTGATGAATCAAAAGAGCTGTTATCCCCAGAACACAGAGCTAGGAGAAAAACGCCCCACAGGAGACATACATTGGAGATTTGATTGTTTCCACAAAAGATTTAAGATGAGCTGGAAGGAAAGACGAAAGCAGCAACCTAGCCACAGAAAGTAAAATATAAATGCAGAACTTAAGGGATACATCCAGACACAAAATCCTCTACTTTTTGACAAATGCTGAAATAAAAATAAGTAATTACGCTTCTCTATACTGTGTCCATCAGTCAGAAATACCAGGTTTAAAGAACAAGTGTTAATGGACCAGGTCTTTCCATCTGCCTCGTACTTGCCTCACATCCAACTCCCCTGCTTTAGCAGTTTAGTCATGTTTAAAAAACAAATCAAAAAACCCAAACCACCAAACAAACAACGCAGAGAACTTGAAAGTACAAAAATGTGCACTCTGCTCCTAATTCTGTATGAGGAGTGGCTCTGCGTACTCCATCATGGCATGGAAGTTACATACCTAAAACACTGCAGAGTATTTGCAGACATGGGAGTAAACAGTCAGATCGGCAGCACAGCCTTTCCAAGCAGGAGTCAGTAACATTTCACTATGGAATGAAAAGCGACTTCTCTTGCACAGGCACAAGCTCTAGCTTGCTTTTGTTTTTGTAAACAATAGAAGGATTAATTCTACCACCTCACAAGTCTGGCTTTGCGTTTCACAGATGGACACAAATATGCACTTTCGTGAAGCACCCCGTGTAAAATAAGAGCAAGACATGGCAAAACGCAACAGAATTTTCTTAGTGTCTACCCCAGCTCCATCACAATGAAGCCAGCGCACAGTGCAGTCACGGCAGATGGAGCTATTCTTGCCCAAGCACAACACAAAAGCAACGAAACATA